GTTTTTAAGTATTTTCATCCCTACTTTTAAAAGTACTAAAAATTTCTCGCATCTATCGACCCCCACTCTCTCGCCAAAGTTTCACTAGTTCAAGTAACAAAGCAATGATACAAGTTGTGGGCATTTTCTCAGTAAAATTATCAGTTGTGCTTCAAAATACTGATGACCTTTTGTGGAAGGTCGCCGTACTCAGAGAGACACCGGCGATATCGAGGCATTTTTATTTTCTATTTTAAATGTACATTTATTTATAATATAAAATTCATTCTTTAATATTTAAGTTATTTGTTTTGTAAAAAAAATATGGACACATGGCGCTTATGTGGCATGAATTTGTGGGACCACCAAGGCCACCTGATCAAGTGATTCGGCCCTTCCATATTTCATTTAACAGTAAAAAATTATCACAGCTTTTAAAAAGTCATTTAATAAATTTTACATCTGCTGTTAAATTTGATAGCAAAAGGCCTTGCCTTCAAATGACTCAGCGTCAAGTAAGAAATTGAAGGCTCGGTTGGAGAGAATTTGTTGCCATTTTTTTACTGTTATATGTTTACGTGATAGTTTTGATATCTCCTTTAAAAATGCTCTAAAATTTTCATTAATGAAATGAGTAATGGGAACCCAGAAGATAACTAGAAAGTGGAAAAAGATTGAATAAATAAATAAATATTGAACGAAACTTAAACGACAGGCAAACTGCATCACCTAAAAAGGAGTAGTTGTTTGATTCTTTAAAAATTGAGGTGAGATATATCACCATATAAAGAAATACTTGTAACTTAAATTTGCCTAACATTTTGCTCTCTATCCATTAAAAAATGAGTTTTATTAACAAGCTACATATTGTTGAATACATTCACATAAAAATTAATAAATGACTTATGTATCATATAATATGAAATGACTATTTTAGCCATAAGGTTTGGATACACCCCAAATCAATTTCCCAGTGTATTCTAAGATTATTTTTCTTCAAACTCCCACCCTCCATTAGAAAACAAAATCCTAACCACTAAAAACATAAACAATACACTAATGACAAAAAATGTCATTTTTATGAATCAAACATGAAATCCACGTTTTGGGCAATTTCAATTGTTTTTTTTTCATTCTTTGGGTGATTTCAACGATGTAGTAATGCATGTTAAAACTATTTTGGTAGCGGAGGGCTTTATCGTTGTAATCTAGTAAAGATGAGTCATCCAAACTGCAGCTAGGGTTTACTTTTTTTTTTTTTCCCTCATCTCTATATGTAGCAACCAAGGAAGAAAATGCCGATAATATCGGCAATATATCGCCGATATTATCGGGTTTTAAGGGAACTGATATTTTTATAACTATCCAAATGGTTTTCGTGATAATATCGCAATATTATCGATAATATCGCAATATTAGCGATAATATCGCCGAGGCTCCGTCGTCGGCGTCGCAACGGCAGCCGAGCTTCCTCTGCGCGTCGCCGTGCTTCCCAGAGACGGAGGAGAGGGAGGGAGAGTTCAGGAGGGTGGTGGAGATGCTGCGCTGGCATCAGGGTGGACGGATTTGGGCGTGCCTAGGTGTGGGTGTGATCGGGGAAATAAAGTCCTCTGCGCGTCGCCGTGCTTCCCAGAGACGGAGGAGAGGGAGGGAGAGTTCAGGAGGGTGGTGGAGATGCTGCGCTGGCATCGGGGTGGACGGATTTGGGTGTGCCTGGGTGTGGGTGCGATTGGGGAAATGGAGCTTCATCTGCGCGTCGCCGTGCTTCTCAGAGACGGAGGAGAGGGAGGGAGAGTTCAGGAGGGTGGTGGAGATGCTGCGCTGGCATCGGGGTGGACGGATTTGGGTGTGCCTGGGTGTGGGTGCGATCGGGGAATTGGAGTGAGAGAACGAGAGTTCGAGAGAGAGATAGAGTTGAGAACTGAGAGAGAGTGAGGAGTCCGAGAGGGACTCGGGAAAAGAGAGAGAGAGAGATAGGGTGAGGGTTAGTGGTCTGCCACGTGGCAGCGTGACAAAGAGTGAGAATCAAGATGGAGGGTCCAGATTAGATTAGGATAAAGGACTCAATTGCACAATTTATATAATTTCAGGGAAAGAGTGAAAATATAAATTAATCTGGGGGTCCAGATTAGATTAGGATAAAAGACTCAATTTCAGGGAAAAAGTGAAAATATATGATTTCAGGGAAAGAGTGAAAAATTTGAACCTCAAAGAGTGAAAAAATTGCCAGCTCGCTATATAATCAACTTAAATCAGTTAAATCCATCATACAATGCATTTCCTTCCCATTTTTTGTGATAAACTAATAAATAATTGACTAAATAAACATCCTGCAAAGTTTCATTAAAAATTTCCAAGTTTTTCTTACAATTTCCGTGGTTTCCATGTAATTTTTATCGATATCGATATTATCCCGATATTTCCATCGATATTTCCGTGTTTTCGGACTACCGATATTTCCGATATTACCGATATTTTCTTCCTTGGTAGCAACTTCGATTTTTATTTGACCAATACGATGAGGTAGGATACCTGATAGTGACTTTATGTGGATGTGCGTGCAAATTCCTTCAAACAAGCAACTCGAGGTTGGAAGCTGGGTTCAGTTGATGAGTTGATGGGATGTGTGATGTGCGTAGGATGAATAAATACTCATTGGTTATGGATAACCGTGGTTATCTGTTTATTTAAATTTCATGGTTACGGTTATGGATAACCGTTTAGATAAATAAACAATTGATGAGTTGATGGGATGTGTGATGTGCATAGGGATGGGCAAATACCCACTGGTTTTGGGTAACCGCAGTTATCTGTCTATTTAAATTTCATGGTTACGATTATCGATATTCGTTTAGATAAATAAATAGTTATGAGTATAACCGTTTACCCGTGAAATTTAAATGGGTGGTTATGGGTATTAACCGCTGTTATAAACGGATAACCATTTACCTATTTATTTTATATATGTAAAATTAACACAAACTATGTTCCCTATCAGATAAAACTTAATGCTATTGACTATAATGCATGGTTTCCGTAGTTAATATTATATAGACTCAACACAGTTTGAGGGACTTGTAGCCGTTGGATCAAATTTCAAGAGTTCAGATTTCCGGATCCTTAAGACTTGGTGGGGGAGATTCGGCTGGGATCTTTGTCCCAGTTGGAGAAAAGATGAACCTGCTCATGCTTTTCATCTTCTCTCTCATCAACTCCTTCGGATTATCATGTAAGCAACAAGCTCTCTCTCTCTCTCTTTCTAAGATTTTTGTTTAATTCAGTTGTTCAAAATTTGGTGGCAATTAATATATGATGCAAATGGGTATGATCCATTAGATCCATATGCCAACATAACAATCATATGAGATTTTCTGCAGCAAAGTGGAACAAATATAAACATATTATATGTGTTGAAAAATATGTAGACCAAATGACAAATTTTTCTTTTTTAATTTTCAAGTTGTTAAAAAAACATGCAGACAGATAAAAAATAGGTAAATGGTAAAAAAGAAAGGATAAACGGATTAAAAAAGGTAAATGGGTAAACACGTACTAAACGGCTACGGTTAAATGGGTATGATTAACCGTTTATAAACGGTTATGGGTATGAGTATACCCGTTTAGGCAAATACCCAACGGGTAAACGGTTATGCGGATATGAGCATAAACGGTTATAGAAAAATAACCGTGGTTACCCGCCCACCATAACCGTCGCCCATCCCTAAATGTGCGTGCACTTCCTAATTGATTGAGTTGTTGAACTTCTAAATTCAAAGATGATCGTCGTGCAAATTGCCCTCAGCCTGCACATTGGAGACCTGCCTGCACATTTGAGACTTCAAATCTTTTGTATCTACTAGAAATTGCTGCCCGCGCGTTGTTGCAGGATTAGAAATTGTATGGAAGATTGATAAGCTAATTCTAAATCATCAAGTTTGCAACTGCATTGCATGACAATCAATTGAAACGTTTTCTCTAAATTATTAAACAACATTTAGCATAAACTGACTTGCAAGTTCAAATGCATGAATGCAAATGAAGATAAATTGTGAAATTCCATACACGTCAAACTTCATTTAGCAAACTGAAAACCATAAAAAATAAATTGATAAACAGACAAAGGTGGTTCACAATTATAAATGTTAAATGCTAATAAAACATTTAATACAATGATCTCAGTTTCTCTCATAATTATAAAATGTTGAATGTAAACAGCATACCCAAATTACTTGTCAAACCAATCAAAATTTCCACTCCTTGGTTAATATCAGAGAATGCCAAATCCAAATCCATGAACCCCACACCGTGAACTGACTCCTTACCAAAGTTATAGCAAGTATTGTTATCCAATTCCAATAATGATGTTATAGTACTCCTTGAAAATGCATGAGTTGGTATATCCATCTCTCTCTCTCTAAGAGTAATTGTTAATAGTAATTATAATAACAGGCCAAAAGCACTGTCAACTATGTTATCAAGGAAAACAAATGTCAATGAGAAATGAAGATAAATGACTTACTGGTGCACTCAAGAAATTGAGAATCATTTGGTGCAAATGGCCTCCGATGGGATCACCTCGAATTCTCAGGTGCTACTATGAGGATAGCTTATGTTCAATACAACCATGCAAGAATAGCCATTCTTCAATATTTAAGCAGGATTGGAAATAGGGAAGTAGCGTATTAAAGCATTAAAATAAGGTTAGTTGGCCAAAAGTTGTTAATTTTTTGTGTAATTAACCAGTTTGTCAATTATCTTATGAACATAAAGAAAGAGCAACATTTAACAAATCAAAAAATTTCTTGCCAATATTTTTTCTCTTTATATAAGAGATGTCATGCAAATACAACCTTCACGATAAACCTTGAAAAATAGCCAATCTCCAAAATATAAAAACAAAACTTGACAATTTACACTCTTATAGTGAAGGCAATTTTCATAACGTGGATTCCATTTTATAGAAGGCAAGCATAAATGAATTAATTATGACAGAGATGGCATTGTAGATGCTGGAAATCATGGAACCAAAAAGAATTGTGGCAGAGAAAAAAAGCACTATTTTTCATCAATTCAAGGTAATATAAAAAGAAACTATACATGTGCAGTGGTTACAGGTACCAATCCTAGGTGATCAGCCAAATAGTGCCTCAAGTTGCTCTTTTGGGGAGCTCATGACTATGCCTTGACCCTTTTGTTTGCCCCTTTGTTGTCTAAAGTCCTGCTCTTGGCTCTTTTCTTGGAGTCTGATCAAATAATTAAAAGTTGTAAATTAGAGCCTAATTAATTTATGCGAACAAAGTAAATCAAGTAAAGGGCAAAGAAAAAAAATTAAGAATTGTAACTTACATTGAAGGCAAATTCAATAATGTCATCGCTGAAATGTTGAAGTATGACTTGGGATTTCCAAAACCAGTAGGGCAGAATTCCTGCATAAATTAAAGCAATGATGTAAATTACCAACCCCAAATATTAAAACTAAAACAAAATTCAAGTTTTTGTGTGAAAATTTAATTGGATTTGTAGGTACTTAATTGCTCAAACAAATAAAAATATAAATTACCAAAACTAATATTGATGAAATGAAGTAATGATCTTGGTTACCTCAAATCGTCCAAAACTGTTAACAAAACGGATGAGCTTTGCAATGTGAAGAGGTTCATCATTGTTATTGTTAATTAAGTAAATAGAAGCCCGGTAGGAACTCTAATCACATCTCTATGTTCCATGTTGAAGGAGTCCTTTCTATCTTTCATCAGAAGCGTACAAGAAAATTGTCCTGAAATAGCAAAGCAACAAAAAAAATGAAGATATTAGAGTTTATGATAATATAAATTCATATAAGAAAAATGAGTGTTAACGAAGATATTAAATCCTAATCTCAAAAGGGTCTCCTCCACAACTCAAAATCTCCACATTAAAATTTAAAATTTCAGTGCTTTCAAACAACCAACAAAAAAAGAAACCACCAAGAAACAACATTGATCTTTGCAACACAATTTTTCATATCTTCCAAGTATAATCTTTCATACAATATATATGAGCACATAATTTAACATTGTAACACAATCTTGCATTTCTTGTAGGGTAATTTTGATTTCATCGGTTGCTTTTGGGTACCCTTAAGACAAAAGTTAGTATACCTTGACGTACTTAGTAGCTCAAAGGCAAAGTGTATGCAAAGAGCAATAAACCAACATCTGCAGCACACCAAAAGCTGCCCAACAGAAAATAAAACAAAATTCTGATAAAAAAACACTCTGTTAACATCATCATCATAGATAACAAATACGATAAAAACTCTAAAAAATTTCAATCAAAAGTTTAAGACTTTAACTCACAGATTCGTTGGGCAAAAAAAATGTCCATCATTGCATTCTCATACAAAAGAATTCTTTAAATAATGATTTCATGCAATCCAATAGCTAAATGTTAAAATCAGAAAAAATTTCTTTAACCCAGATTTTTAAAATTAAAATTATAAAAATTTGAACAAAAAAAAAAAGAGAACCCTAAACAAATATGTCGGAGAGCTCACCAGGAAACTCGAGCTTTCATGGGTTTGAAATTTCTTCAAATCAGAACGGCAACCAAGTTTTGCTTGGTATAAAATTTCTTCGAATCAAAATGGGATTTAGCTTGGATTTTCCCAAGAATTCATCAAATCAAACAACAACAAAATTAAGTGCAGCAAACATAGTGCAGAATTTGTCAAAAGCAACAGATCCAGCATTCATGCAAAGCAAATACGATCATGAATTGAAAAAAAGGTGAGAGAGAGAGAGAGAGAGAGAGAGAGAGAGAGAGGAACCTTGAGTTTTCTGGCGGATTGTGAAGTTTGAAGAGAACCCAGATCCAACAATTGTGAAGTCTGAGAGAACCCATAATTTGAATACTGAAATCTTGCGTTTTTTGGTAGATTTTTCCATCGCTGATTTCAATAAACCCAAATCATTTTTTTTAAGTAAATAGATTTAATTCAAAATTGGGCATAATAAATGAAAAACAGAACCAAAATTTCAAATTACTTACCTTAAGTTGAGAGCATTTTACAAAATGACCTCTTTGGAGACCCAGCCTTCGAGCAGCTGCGGCCTGATGGTGGCGGTGCAAGAGAGAGAGTTTGAGAAGCTGCAATCTAATTTTTTGGATTTAGATGAGAGAGAGCAGAATGACGCAGAAGAGTCAAGAATAGGTACCTTCAAAGATGATGGATGCGTGAGCAGCGAGGGTAAAATCCTCTAAACATAAACAATGTCGATGATCAACACGTGGAAAGCATGTACTGAAAAGGCAGAGCAAACCCAAAAAAAAATAAAGACCAGAGACGGAGGAATGAGAGATGGACATCCAGCAAGGACAAAACGGACTTCTTACTGTAGCAAAGTGTGAACAGTACCGGAATCAAAGCAGAAACCAAGGGCAGTTCCGCCTTTTACTGTTGGTGAACAGTGCTCCTACTCACAGGATGAACAGTAGAGAAGAACTGGGCTTTAGTAGATATAAATATTTTGTGCTTGTTTGTTTTTTTTTTTTCTTGTGATTTATCAATTAATGGTTTAGCTCATAGAGAGACTATACACAAAGGGTGCAGAAGATTTGGACTTCTCATTAGGCACCACTGTGCCACCAGTAGCCATAGTCAAATATGATGAAGGACAGTGCGGGGTGTGAGCTTAATATTAGAAATATGTATGATGTATCAAGATAAATTTTAATTTAAAAAATAGATACGGGGTTAATTAAATATTTATGGTGTATACAACAATGTATGTAGTGCTAATAAAACAGCCCTTTAAAATTATAAATTTAGTAACGAGTACTAGGGCCGTGTTGACATTTGATGCAATTCATAATTTTATGTAGGAAACCCAAAGGCGAAAAGATCAAATGATGATATTTTTTTTGGAATACAACAGTTCAATTATACTCAGGAGATTAGGTGGAGAACTTGAGTCAAGAAACATAATGACATAGTCATAATAATTTTGCTATGAACTTGTCATTTACAAGAGTCAAACTTACAAGCTCAAGCTCTTATCATCAAATGAAAAATAATATCATTAGACTATAATGTTAATTGACTTCAAGATTAGAAGAAATTACTCGCAACAACGTAAACCACTTTAAAGTCCCCTAAATAGAATGGAGGATAGGAACAATGCCAGTGAAAAATAAGGGCGAAATTGTACAAAACAAAAATGCCTTTTATAATGGTAAATGTAGTCATATTCCAGCTGATTGAAGGCTTAACTAAAACAGGCCCTTTAAAGGAAGAAATCCTTAGTTAAAAAAAAAATGGAAACACCCTCTTGACTGTTAGATTTGGTTTTAATGAAATTATATAGTTGAGATTAAATCACAGACCACAAAATCTAAACCCCATAATTTCATTAAAGCTAAATCTGATGTCCCTATTTTTTTTTTTTAAAATGGAGATCCCTTCTCTTAAAAGCTTCCTAACTAAAAAGTCACATATTCTAATTATGGCAAATAAGGATATATTCGAAGTCTGGATTATGCAACACTTTTAGGGTGCGTTTATTGCATCGGACTGTCCCGGACTGGACTAATTACAGGGACTAAGTTGGACTGGCTTAGACTAAACTAAGCTGGAGTAGCTTAGGAAAGCGTTTGGTGCAGTGTCGGACTAAGAAGCAGGATAATTAAAACAATACTATTACTAGTTTGATGTTTGCTTAGATTATGACTACATTATTGTTCTATTTTAATTGCTTTTTATATTAAAGATATTATTAAAATTAATAATATTGGATTAGAGTGAGACTCAATAAAAATATAAAAACCAAATTTTCTTGCCAATGAAAGAAACATACATGATTCATGATGCGTTTGTTGTACCGGAGTATCTTGGATTGAACTAACTTTCGGGACTAAATTAGATTAACTTGGCTTAGACTAAGCTGGATAAGAATAGTTGAGTGTTTAGAGTTCAAATACTTCTTTTGTCATTCATTAATTCATTTTACTATTATTAATACACCTTTTTTATCGTAAAAAAAACAAAATACAACTATTTTAATTTTACTCTCTCTCTCGCCCCCCCCCCCCCCCGGAGGGTCTCTCTCCCCTATCTCTCTCTTTTCTTCATTCATTTGCTTTGGTTCTTCACGCGCATATTCGCTCTTAGTAAAACTCAAACCAGAAAAAATAAAACCCACATTTTTTCTTCTTTGCATTTGCTTTCTCTTGAATTCAAACCTATATTTTTCTTCTTTTAATTTACTTACTTTCTCTTCAAATCAAACCCAGAAAAATCCCTAATTTTTTTTTTCAATTTGCAGAGCCTTCATCGGATCATCAAATCTGCAAATTCATTTCAATCGATCTCTCCAAATCAAAGTCAATCGATCTTGCAGAAGAAAGAGACAAACTTGCTGGCGCATCTTCCTAGCGAAGCTCTTGGCAAACTCGAGTAGGGCGCGACGGTTGGTGCGGGATCTAGAAGAAGAAGCAAGTTGAGGAAGACAAAGACAAAGTGAGTTGAGGAAGACGAAGCGAAGTGATGGTCTTAGCAATCCCATCCTTTTTGGGCGGTCTCGCTAAGACCGGTTAGTGAAGAGTTTAGTCGGCACGAGTCCGACGTAGTCCCATTAAACACAATCCTGGCTCGCCTAAACACGGGATTAATATTCTTAGTAAGCTAGTCCAATCCAGTGATACTTAGTGAGTGCAAACAAACATGCCCTTAAGCCACTCTTATTACTATGTACAGTAATGCAAATGTTTTAGGGTTTTTACCCATGCATCTCGTGTATGAAACGTTTTTATCCTTTAAATTGTTATAGTAATTTCAAACTTTCGATTTGGATCCCATCTGGATCATTTTTGTAAGAATCTTAAGGATCATGATATCTTATTCGTTTATCATACACCGTGCGACAAGTTTTTTTTAGATATTATTTATGTTTAATATTAAAAAAATAAATGTAAATGAGGATGGTGCTAAGTCTAGTTGAAAATCATTGGCCAAAAAAAAAATGCATAAACAACAATAATAAAAGAACGGATTATATATTCTATCAACCCTTGATTTTGATTGATGGACAATTTTTTGCTTAAAAAGTAAATCATTGCCCAAAAAATAAAAAGCATAAACAACAATAATAAAAGAAGGGATTATATATTCTATCAACCCTTGATTTTGATTGATGGACAATTTTTTGCTTAAAAAGTAAATCTTGCTGATGCACACTTGCACAGCCAATCCTCGAGCAAAGTGACATTTAGAAGCAACGGCCCCGATTAAAAGTTGAAACATTTTGGATATTTTATTAGTTACTTTTTGTTTGAAAAATCACACTTCATTGCTAGACAGTCGGTCACCGTCATAATTAATTTTTAAATATTAGAAAATTAAAAAAACAGGACGTTTAGACCTGTCTAGAGCGTTTCAATCCATTTAGGCCATGACCATCATTTAGAGAGAAAACAAATAACTTTATTTTTTATTTTATTTATTTAATAAATTATAGTAGATTTGTTTAATACTTAAATGAACACTCATTATATGTATATACGCCATGTTTTTAATATGATCAAATACTTTATAAACTCTCACCTAGAGGCTTAGGCACTAAGCCCTTGCTCGGCGTTCACCTTTTAAATTCTTAGTCACTGTACATATAACAATTGAATAATATTGCGACATCACTCCCATTATTTTACACAACTTTCCCAATCACGTAGTAATATTTTTCATCAATATCATCTATCTCTTCCTACTAGTTTCTTCTTTTACTTTTATGTACACAAAAAACTAAAATAATTTATTTTTAGGTAAATTACACAAAATTACTTCAATTATGGGTCGAACCACAATCTCATACCTCATATTTTAAACATTGCAATGTCATATCTCAACTTATGAATTCGTTGCAATATCATACATTAGTTAAATTTTCTGTTAATTTGACTGTTAAATGATGACGTGGCAGGAGCTTGGCCCACTCCTTTGCCAACTGGAATAAAAAATTAATTAATCAATAATAGATTATTTATTATTTATTTAACAATTAAAGCTATATAAAAACAAATAATTTTGGGGGCCCTTCATCCCCAATCCTCTGTTATCCCCTTTGTTCACCCCTTAGCCGTAGCCCCACCGTCAGCCCATATCATCTCCTCCCCAGACTCCATTGAGTTCGTCATCCCACCTAGAACGACGCCTTCCACTACTCCAAAATCCCTACTACCCTCGATTCCACCAGCAGTGGCAACCACATCAACAACAACGACCACATTAACAACATCTTCCACTACTCCAAAGTCCCTACCACAGTCGTACTCGCATTCTCATTCGCAGGGTCATTGCCAAATCACTCATCTCCTCATCATATTCAAGGCCCTCTTCTTATTCATCTTTTGCTAATTTTGGTATTAGATTGTTGGCACCGTTGGCGGGTCAACGCCTAAACAACATTCCCGCTCCATCATCTCCCCCTTCCTTCCTTCACCACCAAAACCATAACCCAACCACACTCCCCGCCACCCCAACCTGCCAATCACCTCAAATCTGCCTATCCCTCACGTCCAAGGTTGGGCTCAACACCCCTCCTTAAGTGGGACATGTTCGATCACAATTCCACAACAACGCAATCCCAACAGAAGCTCAAGGACGAAATCGACCCAGCTCGGCCGGCTCTCTAGCCTTCAAGTCATCTCCCTCACCAACAACTGCCTCAGCTTCAGCTGCATCGGCTCCGTCCTTTTTCCTCCCCAGTCATCTCCCATGACCCATTTACCAAACCGCCTCATTTTCGCCTCCAATCCCCTACCTCAGATCTGTCGTGAGCCTTGCCGAGGTTTGTTTTCTGGATCGAGTCCAAGTGAAATCCTGGAACTGATCGAAATCGTTTCCCTAACGGCGAAGCAACTCGATCGCCTGGAACCTCCCACCATGGTCTCGCCTTCGTGAACAACGATGGCTGCAAGGATGATATCGTAGAAGGTCTCGATGTCCATGGAGGCTTCGGCGATTGGTGTTGTGGTCGCTGGGATCATGATCTAAAATATTCATAATATCCCGATATTTCCATCCAAATTTTCGTGTTTTTGAACTACCGATATTTTCGATATCATCGATATTTTATACATTGGTTGGGATCAGAGGAACGGAGAGAGTTGTCTGGTGGGAGAAAGAGAGATTTTTTTTTATTAAAATTTTGTTCAGAATAGAAAAAAATCTTTAATTTATTAAATTTTAATTGAATTAGGTAAAGAAATGGGTCCCCTGTCTGCCCAGTCATCAATTAACTGAATAATTAACGATTTTTTTAACAGGGGTGTGACATTGCAACGAATTTATGAGTTGAGCTATGATACTGCAATGTTTAAAACATGAGGTATAAAATTATGATTTGACCAATAATTGAAGTAATTTTATGTAATTTACCCTTTATTTTTATACTTCATTTTTCTTCTTACTTATAAATCACATAATATACATGTATAAAAACCTTTTTTTTAATTGTGTTTTTAGTCACTTCATATGAGTTTTAAAAGAAAATATCATGACGGTTTTTCCCCTTGGAGACAAATTAAACTTGCCATGCGTGCATAAATTTTGTTTTGTTCTTTTTGTCGTTATACAAAACACCAAAGTTTTATAATATATTTATGCATGTAGCGCACCGGTGTATTAAACGATCAATTTCTATAGCTAAATTATCCAACTGTTCAAACATCAAAGCATCAGAAATTACTCAGAAACACTGTTCTAAAAATCTCCGCCTAGCGCCACCTAGGCGCCGCCTAGCGCCGCCTAGCGCCGCCTAGGCCCCAGCCCACTGCCTCGATTAATGCCTAGGCCCCAGCCCACCGCCTAGACCACCTAGGCACCCGCCTAGCCCGCCTAGGCATCCGTCTAGACCCGCCTAGGTTGCAACTCACTTAGACAGAAAATACATAACTTTCATTTTGCATTTTGTTTTTTTCCAATAAATTGTAAGAGACTTGTTGCATACTTGAATGAACAAACATTATGTCCTTATTTCACATGTTTTCATTATGTTCCAATACTTCATGATATATATGCATTCTATTTTGTAGTTTATGATGAAATTATATATATTTCAAGTAGAAGTAGACACTTATTTATATGAAATATGATAGATTTACTTAAATCCGCCTAAACCGCCTAGGCGCCCGCCTAGCCGCCTAGGCGCTAGGCCCCAGCCCGCCGCCCGACTAGAGCCTAGCGACTTTTAGAACCTTGCTCAGAAAAGAAAAAAGAGAGAGATTCTCCCTAAATTCCGTAAATGGCTTATGATGAAAAGACCCAGCCACCCATGGGCCAATGCATCAACCAACAACAATCTGACTTGGGTTTCACTTTCGGATAAGGATTGTCTGCCCTCCTAGTTGTGGTGCTCTTTCATGCCCTCCTATTTTGTGCGGTCACGGTTAAGCCACGTCAATATTTTATATTAATTTTTTAATGAGATAATAAGACAAAAAACACTGAAAATATAAAATATTGACATGGCTTAACCGTGACCACACAAAATAGGAGGGCATGGAAGGGCACCACAACTAGGAGGGCAGACAATCCTTGTCCTTCACTTTCACCGGCAGCAACAGGAAGAAGATAAGCGAGGCGGGCCCCACACCTCCCCTGTATTTACTCACAAATATAATGCAAAGTTGCAAACCACGGATTTGGATCCTCTCTTGAGCTAATGGAGAGGATCCTTCTGACTACTAATCATGGACTGTTTAATTTTTATCCAACTATTATTATTATTATAATTTTAAAGAGATTTCCTGTTTGTAGCCGTTGGATAAAAATCCAACGACCCATGATTAGTGATCAGGAGGATCCTCTCCATTAGCTCAGGAGAGGATCCAAGTCCGCAAACCACGATAACCCCAAATAAATAATTGCATATCTACTTAATCATCCTGCAAAACTTAAAGCATAAATAAAAAGAGAGAAGAAAAAAACTTATAGGCCTCTTACTTAGAGAAAGCATCATTTCATTTCTACTAACCTCTTCTTCCTCTTCTTCTTCTTCTTCTTCCTCTCCACCTTCTTCTTCTTGTTTCTGCAAAATATAAAAATTATACTTCACATCAATGGCTGCAACATGTTGCTTTTCTCCTGCTTCCACCTCCATCCAAAAATCTGGGCCAGTTTTAAAGCCTTTCAGCAGAGTTTTGAGGTTTAAAAACAGTCTACTAACAGTCAAGATCAAAAGCTCTACCCTCCAGATCAGATCCTCCTTGAGAGAAGAGGTCAGTATTATTTTCTTCTTTTTCTAATTCTAAAAAGAAAAAAAAACTGGGGATGGGATTTTGTTATAACTTTTTAAATAAATGATTAGGCAATATCAGCTCTTCAGTAAAACGACCTGATACGAATTTTTCAACATCTCTTGTTTTTTTTAGTGTCAGCAAAGATTTCTTGTTTATATCTGATTGTTTTTTCGTCTTTCGCTCTTTTTTTGTTTTGTTGCAGGTTTTTGAGGATCGGGCCAATGGAATAATATGCTACAAGGATGACAGAGGGGAGATAATTTGTGAAGGGTTTGATGAGGGTCCTAGGTATCACCAACATAAGCCAACAACACCTTGGCAACCCAGGTAAACAAATCTTAATCTTATGCATTCTTAATCACAATCTTAATCACCAATCACCATCCTAACACAAGTAAAGTTTGATCATGGCATATGAAATTGATCGGCAAGCGATTTTAACACTCCTCGTTTAGCTTCCTTCACTCAAACTTCCCTTGCGAGTGCAAAGAAGCGTTTGCAAAATATTCAGTTTAGAGCGCAGACGGAGAAAACAGGATCGCTAGCCGGCTAGTTTGGACTCATCTGATTCGTATCTCTTTGTTGTGTTTCTTGGTAAAAATTTCAGCAGAGACGCAGAGATCTTTGATCTTCTTCAACAAAGGTGGATTAATTTTATAACAGACACAGAATTGTGCCGTGGCGATAAAGGCAGTGCATTTCAGCAAGAGGACATAAAGAACTGCAATGGCTCCAACACTCTCCGCTAATCGTATAAACAATTTCACCAAGACTATATACGCCCCATTTATAATATGTAACATATAAATGCAGTGCCTTTGAAGCACATTCTGTTTGTTTTTTTTTCCCAGCATGTACACAATGTCCAATTTCAAATTTTTTTTTTTGCACTCCGTTTTCTCGTATTTTAATGTTATGTTTACTTAATTGAAATGAAATAAGTCAATGATTCGAACAAGGAAAATCATGAATGGGAATGAGATCAACTACCCTAGTTAATCTAATTCCTGGTTAATGTCGAACCGATGTTTCATTTAAGTAAACATACTCTAAATGTTGATCAAAATCGAAAACTAACATTTGGCAAACAAAAATCAAACTTAAAACATTACATATTGTTTGAGCAGTCTCAATTCAAGCGTCATGGACGACAATTGTGGGTCGACAAAATTTAAACATTAGAGAATGAGGACAAATATCATATGCCTTTTCACCCTCCTCTTTCTTTTCTTCCATCACTCCCCGAGTATTAATAAGACAACTCCTTCAATATATTTCCACTTTACCAATTTTCTTCCATCAAAATTTTGATAGAGAAAGAGAGAGAGAGAGAGAGAGAGAGAGAGATGGCATTGCAAATGAACATGAATCTAATATACACAAGACTAAGGACTTTCACTTGACCGAATATAAATGCTGTAATGCTAAATACATCAAGAATTATATTCCTTCCTACTCAAGGATTTAATGGAGAGGTCATCCAATACTATACCCCTGACCAAAATTTCCATGGCTTCATCAACAGCCTTCTTCTGCATCTTCTAACAAAATAATCATGAATTTCTCACGTAAAACAAGAAAATGCAAATGACATACTTCTATACAAAAGAATTGGGATATCGATATCAAAAAACAAAGGTAAATGAATAAGGTAACAAAGTTCATGTGGCAGGGTCAGTTCCTGAATGGCATGCTTACATGCACATGTGGATTGACTCCCAGCGTCATTCAACCGAATTACCACCTGTCTCTTCGCCCAAATCAGACTGAGAGGTACTTGTAACAATCGACGGAGGAGACCACTGATCTGGAACCATCAGAAAATAGGTTGTCATTGCTTTCCGGAACCTTTTCTTGTACTGCTTTGGGGAAATTACAGTAGGAGAAGCATTCTTTGGCCCACCGAGGATGCCCGAAGCTTTAACCCAAGTTTCAAGGTGCTTATCCCATGTATACTGCCTCATGAAATCAATAATTCCAAGTACTAATTCATGCTTCTCTTCGTCCACCCCAACCAGTAGTGAATAATCCATTACGTCAATTGACTGCATCAGATTAGATAACATGTTAGATTGGATAAGGGATCATCTAATTTTAGTATACATGGAAATACAAGTTTAGCCGATCAGAATATGGCATGCGAGCATACACACAAAGAAGAGAGTTAAGAAACTTACAGCAAGAAAAGCAGTGTCATTCCAGACAGCTCTCTCCAACAACCGCTTTGCCTTGTTTCCCACAAAGATCGGAGATGTGGGCATCGCTTCAATCAAGTTCTGATCTAGCAGCACTTTGTCACTCCCACTAGAATCAGGATTGTAACGAGACCGTGAAGATCCTTTGAGATCATAGAGCCGCGTAATATTTCTGCCAAACATAAGATTCTCCATAACTAAGACATCTATCTTCGACTCTTTCCCTCCTTTAAGATGCTTTGATTTAACCTTCAATACAAATACAGCCGCAGAAAGAGTAGGTATCAGCAGTACTAAAAAATAAGTTGTTACAGCAAGTTGTTAGGTTAATCTGATTAAAATAGTTGACAGCTTTTGAGGTCAATCTAAAAGCAAGTACCTGATAGATCCCCAAAATCTTAGCCAGGCATGTCGGACTTTTTGTGCCAATTGATTCAGACATATATTTGAAATAGCCGGGAGCGAATTTTATGAAAGATTCCAACTCCGTCTTGGTGACTTGTTTAATGATAAACCGGTCATCCAAGCTTTTAGCAAAAAAGACATTGCTCTTTCCACCTTGGGCTCCCCACTTTTTACAACGACTAAGGGATCTTACATAGTCAAGCTCAGACGGGCAGCAAATCCTTCTTAAGGCTTCAAAACGTTTTGCATGGTAACATGTCACTGAGTATTTAACCTGACCAAGTGGGCTATCATCTCCGAAAGAAACTTTTGCATGCAAAGCCTTGGTATATGAAAGCGGATCCAAACCCAGGGAGCTACGAGATCCATATGTGGACAAAAGGCTCTCCTCAGTAGATCCAAAGCTTCGATGAGATTCAGATGTTGTGTCATCATCAGGATGGTGTGACTGCGTAGTGAAAGAATCAGACAAACCAACATAACCGCTGTTTCTTGTTCTTTCCCCCTCATCACTTATTTGCGAATGATATTCTGGTGACATAAGGGCATAAGATATAAGACTTGTGGGCTCGTCATCGTATACGGGGACAACAGTATCGTTTATCCCCACCGGCAGAAGCAGCCTAGCCCCACCTTCCAGTTCCAATTCCCGAAAGGATGAAACGTATACTGGATTATACTCGCCGAGTGTATCAAGCTTCTGAGCAGCAGATAAAAAATTCTTATTGAACCCACGATAGAAGTTTAAAAAGGGCATTTTCAACCAGCTTACAGAGTCTTCGATATTTTCAGACCCCTTGGTAGATAATGCAGGAGAAGCGGCATGCGCAATCATGGATGCATTCTGGTCTTCTGCATGGTCTAAATTTAATTTGTCCTTCACAGGAGAGGCACTTGAATCTGCTATTCCTAAAACAGGAACTGTGCAGGTATTGTCCTTCGCTGTTCCAAATCCACATTGATTTTCACCGGTCCACGCAGTGTCAAGGGTATCTGACAAATCCATTATGACAGGAAACTGACCATCCGAGAGAGACCTATGAATACCTGCCCTTGGTTTCAAAGGATCAGATTGATCATAGGTACTAACTCCATCGGAGAGATTACCTTGATCTTCATTTTCATATTTTGAATCTCGGACGCTGTCTCTCTCTTTATTTAGCATTTCAGCATGGACAGTGTTGGCAACGTCTCCCCCGTGGTCAAATCCTTTGTTAAGCATTGCATCCACAAGAAAGGAATCACAACTATTATAACTTTTTCCTAGATTTATTGCCACATTATCAACAATCTTTTCACCACTAGTCGCAGGTTTCCCCTCATCTGGAATTGAGCTATTCAAACCATCGTTGTATCTGTTGTTCTCTAAACTGGCTGCATAAACTAAGCGATGGTCCCACATGTAAGATTGGAAAAGCAGCTGCCTTCGCAGCCGATTGATCTCCAGAATGTCAATGACAGGCTGGCCCTTTTTAGCTTCCCTGTTCAAAGTTTTCTGGAGCAATTCCTAGAAAATAAAGCATCGAGGAAAACATATTACGCCAAATATCAAAACAGAGAATTTACTTCACATACAAAGATTGGTTAGAATCATCTCCACTGACAAGGCCATATTGATGTAAATGAAAATATAAACCAACAAGATTATCCATTGAATTGACAAGAAGATTTTGTGACAATGAAAGATATTTCCACCTCGTGCTACGTTAAAGAAGCTTGAGGATGAATCACATGGGTTATATAAAGGAACTCGATTGACTAAGTATTGTTTCTGGTCCATCCACATGAATATGCAGTGACAAAAAGAAAACTCTACGTGTATCAACCAGCCATGCGTAAAGTTCAGATTCTAGAACATGCAAGTTTGCAACTAAAGCTGGAAAGTGGCACATGGATAATTGAAGGGCTCACCTCAAATTCCACCTTCTCCTTTTGTAACATTCCTTCCAGTTCGACAATTTGGTGTCTTGATTCAGGTGTTACCATGCCACTACTATGTGATCCCGAACCAGATCTTTTCTCCGCAATTTGACGAAGAGCATTAAGTACTTCAGAAAAAAGAAGCTCTGCCCGATCAATAACCTATTATAACCAGATAACCAGATAAACAAATCAATGACATAAAGCAATGCAATCCTAAAATATCCAAACATGGAACCACTGTACCTCATCTGTTTCTTTTTGTATCCATTCCTGCTTCTCATAATTGAAATCCACTTTGGCGGGTGGAAGGTAGACAGAATGAACATAAATTGATGCATACCGAAAGCAAGCGACCATCTTCCCGAATCTGCATGAATACACACGTTGAGAGAGAGAAAGATAGGGACTTCTATGCAATTATTCATTCCACCCACATATTAGTTACGCTCGACTACTTGAAGGGCCACAATGAAGTTATTTGTGAGCAGGTACTTGAAATTAAGAGAGTTAAGCATAACCATCAGAGTTGGGTTCAACCAACCCACAAGAAGAAAAAAATATCATATCAATCATATTGTACTACCACCTATGCAAATACTGGGACACAGAAAATACCCATAAAAACGAAGACAATCTCTATGTAAAGAATGGCCACAGCTCGCCACCCTGCTTGCAGCCGCATGGTTTGAAAAACTGAGCTCCAAAAATTTTCCAAACGATAAACCCCATGCGGCATCAGACATCACTATTCTCCTAGTAGCCGGAGGAAATCCATTGATCCTTGGACACTTCAAGCACCTGTGCCACATCCAGATCTTTCCTTCCTTTTCACCTGGTAAGATTATTTCTGGCAGCTTCTTAACAGATATAGTTAGAGTACCCTGACGATGAGTATAACAATGAACATGTGCTTCTGACGGCATCTCACAAGAATTGCATTGATAACTCTGACACATGATTAAGCATTTTCAGTTTCAAGTTGTATCACAAAGTTGAATGAAAAGAGAGAAGGTAAAAGTCAAAAATGGCTCACCTGATCAAATAAATGGTCTTGTAAAAACCGTCCTAAAGGTTTATCAAAACTGCCATAGTATTTGATTCGAAACAGATGCGACCTCTCACAGACAGTCCCCTTCCACACGCACCGGGATGACAAGGAAACCAAAATACTCTGATGGTCAGAAGGTGACGGTGGAAACTCTTCATTCATAGGTCCTGGTTCATCAGCTTGAGTATTACCATCTTCATGCAGAAATGAATTGTATGAACCACCTAGCTGATTTCCAGTACTTACAGTTTCATCATTTTGGGCGATCGAGAAGCCACCCTGTCCCATAGACTCTAAATACCTCAAGCTATTGCCAGCAAGA